CAGCCCTCCCTGGGCTGCCCTTGGGGGTGCCCTAAGACCTTGGCCCAGCAAGGCGGAAGGGCTCCTAGGGACAGGGGGCTGATCTTGGCCTCCAAACACCTGCAGCCTTTCTTGGGGGCTTTGGAGACAGGAGCTTGGTGCTCCACCCTGAGGCCATTCTAGGCTGTGCCCAGGGTTGGGTTTCCAGGGTTTAGAGGCGTCCATTGGCTGGAGAAGACTGAAATGTGAAGTGGGAATGAAACGCTCATTCAAGGGAGGCGTTTAAATGCTCAAAGGCGTATAGAAAGATCCAAAAGAAAAAACCCGCAGCTCCAAGGATTTGGGTGCTTTGGGCCCTTTCTGAAACACACAAAGGAAAGAGGAGGATGGAGTCAGACAAGAGTGATGCGGAAGCATCGTGAATGGAGTGCACTCTCCATGAGCCCTGGGCTCTGGGCAAGGGTCTGAGGGTGCCCCCCTCCAACCCACCCAGGCAGGCTGCTCCTGTGGTGGGGTGAAGGCATCTGATGGCTCTTGGTCATCCGTAAAGTGCCTGCCTCCATCCTGCCTGGAGCACCTCCCTAGAGGAGGATATCAGCACCCCCAGCCCCCACCCTGAGGGATGTTGGACCCTACTCAGGGCAGCCAAAGGCCAGGCCAGCTGAGCCCTGACAAGCAGACACAGCTGCATGGGAGAGGCGCCAGGCAGGGGATCCAGCTCAGCCACTCCCCTCTGGTCAGAGGCTTGGCTACTGACCAGACCCCAGGAGGCTGAGCTCTCCCTTGCTAGCAAGCATCCCCCGAGCCCATACCTGACGATGAGGGAGAGCCAGGCAGGTCCAGGTGAGGGGAAGCGAGGAGACCTGGCAGGGAAGGCTGGTGCCAGCTGGCCCGCGCCTGTGGGAGTGGAGAAAGCTGTCTCTGAGGCACCTCCAGAGGGAGGACAGTCAGATGGCCCTGCAGGGGGCCCTGCTGATCTGGCCCCCGCCTCTCTTGGACGTCATTCTGGTGCCCTTGCTCATGCCGTCATCATGATCTTCTGGACACAACTCCCATCTTTCCTGTCAGTGTCTCCTCTGTGACCAAGGTCGTGGCCCTCCTGCGTGGGGTCTGCAGTGACCCAGCCCTGCAGGGGTACAACCCCTTCTCTGTAGGTGAGCATTTGGGGGAGCCCTGCCGTGAGAGAGCCTTGCTGTGGGAGTGTCCTGCTGTGGGGGAGTCCCATGGGCGGTTCACTAGGACAGAACAGGCATTGCAAAATTCGCCCTGGACAGAAGTATGCTGGTGCCTGCAGCTTTCTTTGAAATGCCTGGCAAATGAGATGGACTGGTGGATGTGGAGGGATGGAGTGTGATAAAGCAAAGAGAGAGAGATGTTATGGTACAGCCATGGTGGCGGGTGTTCAGGTGTGCACTTTAGAACGTTTTCTACTTTTTCTGCCTAGAAATCTGTAAAAATGTCTATAATAAAATGTTGGGGATCATATAGAGGAGTAGGGAAAGTCGATTTTCTGCAGGACAGGCCTGGCTGGGCAGCTCAACTTGCCCCCAGGAGTCCCCTCTCAGTCTAGAAAACTGTTTTTGCTTTCCCATGCTGATGTTGGTTTTTACCCTTTGTTCACCTCTACACTCAAGGCAGCAACACACTCCTATCATTAATAGAAGCTATGGCAATGAGTTTGGGGGTAAGGGCTAAGTGTATTTTAAGAAATCTCAAGTAGCTCTAAGATGCTCCCGTGGAGCCTGGAGGGCAGGCTGGACTTTGCAAAGCAGATGCTGTGGCTTCCTGGCAGTCCAGGCGTCTGTTTCTGTATTGTCCTTTCCTGTCTCTGCAGATTCCAGGGCTGGGGAAGGGGCGCTGTGAACACAAGGTGGCCAGTATTTTAAGAGGGCACCACAGGCTGGGTATGGTAGCTCATGTCTGTAATCCCAGCACTTTGGGAGGCTGAGGTGGGTGAATCACTTGAGGTCAGGAGTTGAAGACCAGCCTGGCAAACATGATAAAACCCCCTTTCTACTAAAAATACAAAAATTAGCCGGGTGTGGTGGCGTGTGCTTGTGGTCCCAGCTACTCGGGAGACTGAGGCAGGAGAATTGCTTGAACCCGGGAGGCGGAAGTTGCAGTGAGCCGAGATCACGCCATTGCACTCCAGCCTGGGCAACAGAGAGAGACCCTGTCTCAAAAAAAAAAAGAAAAGAAAAGAAAAAGAAAAAAAAAAAAAAAGGGCACCATAGCCCCTAGGGCTGAAATGGCAGGTTCACAGCCATTGGAGAGGGCTGTCCTGGTCTTGCTGTTATCACCCATGTGGTGTAGGGCAGTGTTTCTGTGGCCCGTAATGTGGTCATGCAGAAACAACTCAGTTCCTGGGCTGCATCTGCAGAGCCCATCTGGGAATAGGCTGGACACTGGTGACTGGTGACTGCAGAGCATCCTGGTTTGGAAGGGGCTTCCCTGTGAGGGGACTGGCAGGAGCTTCCCTCCATGTCTGTAAGCCTAGGGCCTGGCGAGAGGCCCACCCAGGCTTGGCACCTGGGGCAAGGGACTGTCCCCAGAGCCTCTCTGGGCTCCTTCTAGGATGGTTCTCAGGCCTTGGCCTGAATCTAGCTTCTGCCAACACTAGGAGCTGGCTTGGTCCTTGGGTTATAGCCAGGAAGGTGACTGGGATGTGCCCAGAGAGGCCCAGAGGACTGGCTGGTGGGCACGTTTGGGAGGCAAAGCCAAGGAACACCTCCAGCCATAGCTTGTGGGGGGTGGGGTCCAGAGCCTCCTCTTTCCTGTGATGTCACTGAAGGCCAGGCCTGCATGGCACTCCTCGTGATGTCATGGGGGTTGGGGACTTCCAACATGGTGTGGTGGGAGTCAGGTCATAAAGTCATTCTATGTGATATTAGCAGGGGCCAGCACATTCCATATGATGTCACGGGGGACAGCCAGAGTCTCTGGCATTCCATGAGGTATCTTTAGGGTTGGGGCTGCTAAGGTCACTAGGGGCCAGCCATCAAGCCATTTTAGGTGACATCATTAGACCCTCTGGAATTTTGCATCTCATGTGACATCACTGTGGGCAGGGCTGCCACAGCATTCAGTGTGCTATTACTGGAGGCCGGGCGTGCAGAATTTGGCATCGTGCATGATGTCACCACGAGTGCAGCCTGAGCCATCATGACATCCCAAGTAATGTCCCAGGAGGTGTGGCCTTCCTGAGATCCCATGGGGAATTCCCAGGGTGGAGTTGCAGTGGCATTCTGTGTGGTTACACTGAAGATGGGGCCTCCAGAATGTAACATTCTGTGATGTTATTGGGGCTCAGGGTTTGGGAACTGGCTCCCAAACCTGTACCCTGCCTTCTGGAGGTATGACGCCAACTACAGAACCCTAAGCGCTGCCCCATTTCCCAGCCAATTTTGCTCACCCAGGCAGGGTTGTCGGCTACCTCACCATCTCCACATCTGCCAGGTAGCACAAAGCACCGTGCACTAAGATGCTTTTGAGTGGGTGCATTTATCCTGCCTTTCAGCCTGGTAGTGTCTCTGGGATGCTGCTGTATCTTAGCTCCTGCATCTCTCTTTTCTCCTGGATTCTGAAAAGTGCTCCATAGCTTTGCAGGGTACAGGGGTTATAAGAGGCTAACCAAGGTTACAAATAGCCTGCATTTTTTTTTTTTTTTTTTTTTTTTTTTAAGACAGAGTCTCATTCTGTCACCCAGGCTGGAGTACAGTGACATGATCGTAGCTCACTGCAACCTCTACCTCCTGGGTTCAATCAAGGGTTCAAGTGATTCTCCTGCCTCAGCCTCCTGAGTAGCTGGGACTACAGGCACACGCCAGCATGTCCAGCTAATTCTTTTGTATTTTTGGTACAGACAGGGTATCACCATGTTAGCCAGGCTGATCTTGAACTCCTGATCTCAGGTGATCTGCCTGCCTCCGCCTCCCAAAGTGCTGGGGTTATAGGCATAAGCCACCACACCTGGCTGCCTGCAAATTTTTTTTTTCTTTTTTTTTTTGAGACGAAGTCTTGCTTAGTCGCCCAGGCCGGAGTGTGGTGGCACGATCTCGGCTCACTGCAAGCTCCGCCTCCCGGGTTCAAGCGATTCTCCTGCCCCAGCCTCCCAAGTAGCTGGGACTACAGGCGCCTACCACCGTGCCTGGCTAATTTTTGTATTTTTAATAGGACGGGGTTTCACCATATTGGCCAGGCTGGTCTCGAACTCCTGACCTTGTGATCCGCCCACTTTGGCCTCCCAAAGTGCTGGGATTACAGGCGTGAGCCACCATGCCTGGCGGCCACCTGCAAATTTTTAAGAGACAGGGTCTCCCTCTGTCACCCACGCTGGAGTTCAGTGGTGAGCGACCATAGCGACCATAGCTCGTTGTAACCTCAAACTCCTAGGCTGGAGTGACCCTCTCACCTGCCTCCTGAGTAGCTAGAACTACAGCCATGCACCACCACACGCTGCCAAATATTTTTATTTTTGTAGAAACAGGGTCTGGGCTGTTACCTGGGCTGGCCTCAAACTCCTGGCCTCAAGCAATTCTCCTACCTCAGCCTCCCAAAATGTTGGGATTACAGGCATGAGCCACCATGTCAGGCAGCCTCCAAACCTTAATGGCTCAGCACAACAAAAGTTTCTCATTCATGCAATGTCCAATACAGTGTTCCCTAATCATCTCTCCTCCTCGCCATGCCCTGCATTCAGTCAGTCAACAAGCAGAGAGTGTGCAGGATCACGAGGATGGTTGCTAGGGGCAGACCTGGAAGGGGCATACATTGCTTCCACCCTCATTCCAGTGGCCAGAGATAGTCCCAAGGCCGCAGTCAGACACAAAGCTCTAAGCAATGTGGTAGTCATGTGCCGGAAAGAGGAACTAGGCTTGGTGAGCAGCTGGTACTGGCCATAGCGAATGAAAAACAAAATGACGGCTTCTGCTGAATATTCCCGGGTGACTCTTCCCCAAGGACTGGCCCTTCCTCAGGACCACCTTCCTTATGCTCACCCCCCACCTCTGCTATCCAATCAGATCACACCAGGCAGCAAGGCAGCCCAGTCCCAGCTCAGCCAGGGTGACCTTGTGGTGGCCATTGACGGCGTCAACACAGACACCATGACCCACCTGGAAGCCCAGAACAAGATCAAGTCTGCCAGCTACAACTTGAGCCTCACCCTGCAGAAGTAGGTGGGAGCTCTCCAGAGCAGGGGGCGGAGGCTTGGGTGTGGGCATGGGGCAGGGGCCAAAAGAGGTATAGTCCCATAGCAATTGAGTGGGCCTAGCCCTGGGCTACAGAACTGTGCCGGAAGATAAGGACAGCCTTGGGCCAGAGGAACAACCAGGCCCAAGTTGCTGTCAAGCACCTAGAGGCAGACATTACTGCCTCACTTTACAGATAAGGCTGAGAGGGTGGTCCTGGTGCTGCCCGTATGTGGGCCATTGGTCCTGGAAGGCAGGTCTTCCCTGCTTCCACTTTGCCCTGGCAGCCCCCAGTGACATAGCAGGGGCCCATGGATGCTGGCCAAAGTGCCCAGGGGCCATGACTTCTCCATCCTTGTCAGGCCCAGGGCCTTCTTGGGGAGATCCAGCCCGTGGGGTGGACAGTGGATCTGGAGCCCTCTGACTCAGCTGTCTCTCTGTCTCCTCACCAGCCCTGCCCAGGCAGGAGCTTCTGGCCCCAGGGGCAACTTCCTCACTTCGTCTCATTTCTGGTTTCTACAGATCGAAGCGTCCCATTCCCATCTCCACGACAGCACCCCCAGTCCAGACCCCTCTGCCAGTGATCCCCCACCAGAAGGTAGGTGCTGACTGCGGCGGCGGGGTCCACTCAGCCCTGGTTCCTGGAGTGCTGGCCCTGGCCAGCCTGCCTGGTCTTTGGCTGGCCCAACTGGGAAGAGGCCGTGGGATCAGCCCTGCCCCATCCCTGTCACTGCTGCAGCTGACCCTGGGGAAGTGAGGCAGCCCCTCGGGAGAGACTTTCAAGCCCCTCTTGAACACTGGATGTGGGAATGAATGCCTGCCTGGGTGCAAGTCACCTCCGCTATGCCTCCCGGCTGGGCCGATAGAAGCTAGCTTGGGCAGCAGTGCTCCCAGGAGAGGGGTCACCCTCCCGGCCAGGCAGGGGACGAGCGTCCAGGCTCTGATCCTCATTTGCCAAGGGGGCCGGGGCTGGGTGACTGCAGCTGAGGCCCAGCTTGAGGAGGACCTCCAGGTGTGGAGGGGCGTGCTGGCTACAGGCTTTCCCCTACCCAGATCTCTCCCTCTGGTTTCCACTTCCCCACCTGCCCCTCCCAAGTGCATGCCCCTGTAGCCCTTAGCATGTGCTGGTGATGGCCCTCGAGGCAGGCACAGGGGAGAAGGGAGGCCAGGCCCTGGCTCCAGACCTCACCACTGCCTGGGCCCTTCCCAAGGCCCCACTAAGCAGCTCAATCCCCGAGGGCTCCCTGCTCAACTTCTCCCTCTGTGTGAGCTGATAGTGACCCCACCTGTCCAGTGGGGCAGATTGGGCAGGGGAGTAGGGAGAGGGGAGAAAAAGAGGCTGACAGGGGTGCGGTAGGTCACAGACTGGGAAAGTGGGTGGAGGGCTGCTTGGGAGATGCTTACAGAGGTGGACTGAGGGGCCCAAATGTCAGCTACCCACTTCCTCAGCTTCCCTCCTCACCTCCCCACCACCTGCCCACAGCCAGCCCAGGGACCCCATCTCACTGGCAGTGTGGGGTCAGTGGAGCAGGAGTCTGGGCTGTGCTCACTGAGTAGCCACTCTCAGGGGCAGGGGGAACAGACACAGAATGGGCCATCCCCTGACCCCTATACCCACTTCCTCGGGCCCTGAGGGTAGGAAGCTTGACTTGGCTTCCGTGCGGGGCTTGGCACTCTGCCCAGTTGGATGCCAGCTTCAGGCCAGGCCAGGAGCCATGTGCCTGCCTGCTCCTCCGCCAGCGTCCTCCCCTCCAGGTGCTGCACCCAGGTGCTCTGGGCTTCAGGCTGTGGGGCTCGCACTAATGTATCTGTTTCAGGTCCACGCAGGAGCGCTGGGACGCGTGTGGCCTCTAACTGCTCTCTTCTCTCTCCCCTGCATGGCCTGCCCTGTGCCAGGACCCCGCTCTGGATACGAACGGCAGCCTGGTGGCACCCAGCCCCAGCCCTGAGGCGAGGGCCAGCCCAGGCACCCCGGGCACCCCGGAGCTCAGGCCTACCTTTAGCCCTGCCTTCTCCCCGCCCTCTGCCTTCTCCTCACTCGCCGAGGCCTCTGCCCCTGGCCCTCCGCGGGTCAGACTGAGGGCCAAGACCAGCCCGGACGGGGCCCGGGACCTACTCGGCCCGAAAGCCCTGCCGGGCTCGAGCCAGCCGAGGCAATATAACAACCCCATTGGCCTGTACTCGGCAGAGACCCTGAGGGAGATGGCTCAGATGTACCAGATGAGCCTCCGAGGGAAGGCCTCGGGTGTCGGACTCCCAGGAGGGTAGGTAACGGGCGTGCAGCTCTCCACGGGTGGCCTGGGCCACCTGGGTCCTCGGTGCTCGGCAGAGACCTGGTCAGGTGGTCAGAGCGAGGCACTGGCCCCAATCCAGCCAACCCCGAGTCCATGAGGCCAGCAATGATCCTGTGGCGTTTGCCATGAGCCGGGCATGCCAGCGATTTATACGACCAACCACGCTGGGGTGACATGTCGGATTTTGCAGAGGAGGAAACTGAGGCTCAGAGAAGGTTAAGTCACAGTCCGTTTGTCCAGCTACCATGTGGCCGAGCGAGTCCTGAATGCAGGAGACTCTGACTTCCAAAACTTTTTCACTAAGCCGCCCCCCAGAACAGCACAGCATAGCCTGCTTCCTTCAAGAGCTATGCGCTGGTCCCCACCCCTCTGGGGGGAAGGAGGCAGGAGCAGCGGGGAGCTGAGAGGTGGAAAAGCGAGTTCTCTGGGACTAGGAATGGTCTGGGAAGCTGCCTGGAGGAGGGAGCCCCTGAGTTGTATATGGAGAGACTCTTTGGCAGTGGCATGCAGGGAACGGGTTTGCAGGAGTGACCTTGGCCAGGGTGGGGTGGCGAGGAAGCAGCACCCCAGGGAGAAAGGGGCTGTGTGGGAGAACAGCAGCCTCACCTCCAAGGTCTAGCTGGTGGGACTCTGGGAGCACAGCAGTTAAAAGCACATGGGACTGGGATACTGTGGAAGGGACCAAGGGATCAGAGTCCTCATACTGGGCCTGTGTTAGCTCCAAGCCCTTCACGCTTGTTCTCTCACCCTAACTTCTACTCCCGCCCTGTGCAATTAGCGTAGCCCTCTCCAGGCAGGGCAGGCTGAGTCAAGGCAGTAGAGCCTAGTGGTTCAGAGTTCCTCCTCCGAATCGTGGAGGAATCACACTGTCCATGTCTCAGGGTTATTGGGAGGATAAAGGACCTAACACTTGTAAAGCTCTGAGCTTTGTCTGTCACCCACTCACTGCATGACACCTGGTATCATCACTGCCTGGAGCCACCCAGAAGAGTCACAGTAGGAATCCGGTCAGTCTGGCCCAAGCCCATGCCCTTGCCTTTGCCCTTGCAGCAGAAGGTACCTGTGCCCCATCAGATCACTGCTCCCCGTGGCCCTCAGCTTCCCTAGCTCCCCAGCTGTTTCTGGAATCCTCAGTGAGGCTGACCTCTGGTACCGCATGGCTTGCTTCCCTTAGCCAAGGTGACAGAGTCATATATGCCCCCAAGGTTCCCCAGCGAAGGACTTTTGCCAGAAAACTCAGGGAATAGTAGAACAGATATGGCCTCCTTGTCCCGCCTTTGTTGGGCTGGTAGGTCTTCCTGGTCCTTTCCAGGGGCTGGCCTCAGGCAGGGAGGTCAGCCTCTGGTGGCCTGGGACTCCCAGGAGACCCACCTGCAATGATGATATTGTCTCCCCATAGTGACCCTGCACTCTGGCTATGGACCAGCTAACAGTCCACATGCCTTATCTCTCAGCAACTCTCTCTAACACAACTCTCTCTCTAACTCCAGAGGTGGGCATGATTTTCATCATCTTATAGCTGGAAAATAGATGCTCAGAGAGAGCAAGTAATTTGGTCAAGGTCACACAGCTAGTAAGTGGCAGACAGAACTGGCACCCAGGTCTGCCTGACTCCACTTTGCATTGAGACAGGGACTTGTCTACCTGCTCAGGGAAGTGAGGGGCCAGGCCCACCTCTGCTTCCCATAGTGCCTAAGGTACTCTGCTGTTGGTGCAGGGGCTGCCCAGACCCTGATGAATGTGTAAATTATTACTTGGTGCTCAGAGCAGCAGAGTCTGACGTTTCCTCCAAGGGATGGTGGGCTAGGGGAGGGTGTGCAGTGGGTGCTTTATCCAAAGTAAAAGCTGATGCTGCTGTCCCGGGCAATGCCGGCAGGAAGGGCTGGAGCCTCTGACCTGCGCTGGCCTCTGACCTAGGGCAACCTCTGCTGGGCTGAGGCCACCACCTATGCTAAGTGGGTCAGCAACAGGGTCAGCAAAGGCTAATCCCTGTGCTTGTCCATGGCACACTTCTCCCATGCTAAGCACCTTAGACTCAGGACCTGCTCAGTCTGCACAACCCACTGGTGTGGTAGGCATTACCATCTCAAGAATTAGAATTAGGAAACAGGCTGGGACAGGTGGGTAATTTGCCTGGAGTCACAGTGCTAGGAAGAGGCAGGGTCACGACTTGAACTCTGTCCTGTCTGGCTCCAAAAGGAAGTCCCTTCTGCTGCTCTCTCCTCTGGGCGGCTTGGAGTGCAATTCCTTGGCAGCTCGTATCCTCTTGGAAGGAGGAGAGAGAAACAGATGTGGTGCAAGGGCAGATAGGCATGGGCATCCCAGCAGCCCCCTTCTTCTCCTCCCTTCTGGGGCTGGCACTGAAGAGCAGTGTCCCTGAGGCCATTCAGTGCAAGGGCCCCTGGGTAGGTCTTGCATCTTTGGCTCATCTTCCCCAAGACCCGGGCACTGTCTCCTCTCAGATGTGTCTGCTGCAGCCATCCCAGCCCCAGGTCCTGGGTGGGAGAAACTGAGCAGGAGGCAGAAATCAATGCCAAAGAAGGAGCAGGCTGCCGAGGCAGGGCAGAGGCAGCCCCCACCTTGCCAGGCAAACACTGCCCTCTGCAGGGGGCCCTGGGCTGGTCAGGGCAAGAAATGACCCTGCAGCTGTCAGCACTGGCCAAAAATGGAGAAGGAATGGGGTTCCTTGCTGGCCCTTTCCTAATATAGCTGCACTTGCAGCTATTTTAAGCCTGGGAGGACAGAGGGAATTTTATCAGTTCTGAGGCAGTGGCAGGCTTGGGGCAGAGTAGGGCCACTGTGCCACTCCCTGGGATGGGGGACTACTGACTTGAGCCTGGATCCCCAGGGTTTGGCTGCAAATGACCAGGGTCAGGCCGGCTGGGGCCCAGGCTCCCCCAGCTAGAGCCCACACTGGGCAGATTCAAGAAGATGGCAGAGTTTGAGGACAGAGCCCCCCACCTTCCACACTGTCTCCCTCACAGGCCCCAGACAGGGACACTGGCCACAGGGTCTGCCCCTGCAGGGAATCTGCATTTAAAGAAACATGGGACAGACACTGCTTTCCCTACAGAGACCATGCTCTGGGAGGCTCACTCTCAGGTCAGAGTGAGAGGAAGGGCCTCTCACTATGCTGTCCGAGCTGGGCTGCCTCGGCTGGGCGCTTTCCTTCAGAAAGCCTTGAGCTCGGCCAGAAGTGGTGGCTCACGCCTGTCATCCCAGCACTTTGGGGGGCCGAGGCAGGTGGATCATGAGGTCAGGAGATCGAGACCATCCTGGCTAACACAGTGAAATCCCGTCTCTACTAAAAATACAAAAAAAAAAAAAAAATTAGCCGGGCATGGTGGTGGGCACCTGTAGTCCCAGCTACTTGGGAGGCTGAGGCAGGAGAATGGTGTGAACCTGGGAGGCAGAGCTTGCAGTGAGCCGAGATCGAGCCACTGCACTCCAGCCTGGGTGAAAGAGCGAGACTCCTCTAAAAAAAAAAAGCCTTGAGCTCACACTTCTCCTTGCGCTTCCTCGCTCCTCCATCCTGCCTCATTGCTGGCCCAAAGGGCCTTTAGGAGTGGCCCCTGGGGATTGTGCACCCCACTCCCCTATACCCCAAGAGGAGCAGCCAGAGCTGCCTGTGTCTCTTCTGGGAGGGAGAGGAGGTCCGGGTTTGGGGGGCATAGGTAACCCCGCGCACACCCTGCCCCCTCACCACCGCATTGCCTGCTCAGGACAGAATTCCAGAGCTGCCCCCACAAAACAGACTCTTAGTCCAGAGATGCGGACAGGCAAGGAGGCCCCTGGGCCTCAGCCTTTTCCATAGCAGCCACAGCTGGTCCTGTCTCCACCTGCAGCTTCCTCTCTGGGATCTATAGCCAGGTTTGTATGTGGGGGATTCATGTATGCGGTACGAGTGTCCCTGAAGATGGACAAGAAAACACTTCTTCTGGCAAAGCAGAGGGCACTGGGGAACGCCCAAGAGGGAAACACTGCTGTGTCAGTCTCTGAACCAAACCGAGGGTCCCAGTCACTGCGACTCCCAGCTCTCAGCTCTCCCTCCTCGCTCCTTGCTCTCCTCACCCAGTGTGGTTTGGGCTGCTTCTGCCTCCACAATGACCAGGCTGATGATGGCCCCGGCGCTCAAACTCCCCCTGGTGGAGCCTCCCTCTGACCACCCTGTCTTTTTTGCCCTTTTCCTCCCCAGGTGGTAGCCAACTCTCCAGCCAAGTTAGTATCAAAGGACAGCATGTGTGTGCGCTTGCGTGCCAGCCCCAGCATGTGTCTGTGTGTATCTGACGTGGATAGGGTGTGCCTGCTGGCATGTGTACATGTGTGTGCATATGTATGAGTGGGGTGCACCTGTGCCCCTGGGTGAGCCTGCATGTGTGTGAAGCTGGAGTAGAAGCATTTGGGGGTGGGAGTGGGGGCTCCATTCGATGGTTCTAATTTCATTCCCAATTTCCTGCTGCAGCAGCTGCTTAAGATGCGCCTGGGGTTGGTGACGGTGGTTGGGGGAAGGGGGCACGGGCTGTGCTGCTGCTGGGCCTGTGTGAGCCTGAAGACCTTTCTGTCCTGGCGACCCCTCGGAAGGGCTGCACTGGATCTTTTCTGCCCGGGGAGCACACCTATCCATTGGAGGGAAGAGCCTCCTGTGGGTAGAGGATGGCCAGCCACTCAGCAAACTGGACTTGAGGGCGCCTGGGCAACCGGAGCCCTGCTCTGAGGAAGAAGCACATTCCCTGAAGCGCCTGGAAGAGCAGAGCCCTGGGCCACCAAGAGGGTGGCCTGCAGGAAGAGCCCCTTCATGGAGAAACCTTGCTCAGAATCCCTGTGGGTGCCACTGGAGCCGCTTTTCGCCTTTGGGGCGTTCTGGACTCAGCTTGGGCTGCTGCTCCCATCCCCTACCCCCAGCCCCACGCCCCGCTTCCCCTGCTGTGTGTGGTGGGAGATCTCTCTGTGCCTGGCAGCCCCTGCAGACC